AATTATATTAACTTACAGACATTATCAATTAGATTTATCGCTGCATTTTCTACGCCCCTAATCTTCCTTTTTGTATTTTCCATCTTTTTGTTTCTGTCCCTCAGTGTTTTTTTGTTTTTCTTGACCTATCTTCCAATCTATTCTCTTTAGCTGGGTCTGACCTTTTAAACCTACTGAGTTCCAATTTTAGCTATTGTAAATTTTGGTTCTAAAACTCCCATTTGCTTCTTTAGTTTTAAGTTTGCTGCTTAAATTCTGTCTCAACTCTCATCTCTCTTAATATAGTAAGCATAGTTATTTTAAAATGTTTTATAACATCAATGTCCGACTCTCCTTAATGACTTAGGGTACTTGTCATTTACTGAAGTAAACTGGATCCCATACTCTTTTTCTGAGTCTGTTCCTCAATCAGTTTCTCTTAATACTTTTTTCTCCCTTCATTTAGTTTTGTCTCACATGCTTAGTTATTATTCATTTGCTGGATATATTTGCAAAACTGCTTGAAAAATATTAAATCTGGTTCATTCTTACCCCTAAAGTATAACTTTTTGGGGTCCTAATTTCTTGGCATCCCTCAAACTCCAATTCATGTCCTTTAACCCAAGTGAGATTGTCAAAAGCACCAGTCTATCAGTTACCCCCTCTGACCTTGGCAAACATCTGCAAGATAAAAGCAGCATTAAACATGGGCTTACATCCCTGGGACTCTGTCCTCTTCCCATATGCTGGTCCATTAAGTCTTCACCATCTTCTTAGCTCTCCAAATGCCTTTAAGCAGATGTTTTATATAACTTTTTAAGTGGCTTTTTGTTATGCTTGAGGTTCAGAGGGTTTCTTGAATCTTTATACTTGAAATTCAGTGGAAGACTGGTCTGCATTATCAAGTACACCATTACTTTATACTGGTCCTGGAGAAGTCTTTTTCCTTTCTCACATTTTCAAATTCTTTTTCTTCTTAAATATTTTTAAATACTTTATATGCAGTATCTCTATAAGGCAGACAAAACTTTGGGGTGTTCAACTTTTTCTTCTTAGTCTTCCTTTTCTGCTCATGCATGCATTGAAGAGAATGTTATTATTTTACCTTATATTTTTAGGTATCCTGTAGTAGGAGGAATTTCTGATTATATAGTCTACTATATCGCCCCATTAAAAAGTACACACATGCACACATATAGAAAATATGGTGTTTTTCCATATACTGTATTACTGTTTTCTCATATGCTTTTTTGTAAAAGCAAGCTTAGAGGCAAAAAAAAAAAAAAAAACCTGGCTGAAACACAGTATGGTGATGCGAAGAAAGGAGAAGCTGCCTTAAGCTTCCAACAGAGTTTGAACCCTAACCTAACCTGGTCTTCACTCCCGTAATTCAAACACTGTCAAATGGGAAGTCATTAGTTATAAAGAAGCTGAATGATTGTTGTACTCCAGAAAACTGTTAAAATACACACTCCATGATTGTCATGAAAAGAGGCAGACAGGAAAGATGAAGTATTTGCTAACTGATAAAGACTCAGTAATTGAATGGATATGTTTGTGGCTGGGGTACAGGAAGTGATGTTTTAACTCAGCTTTGCCACTTCTTAGCTAAATGACCATAAGCAAGTTACCTCTGTAACTGACTTCCTGTTTAAAATACACACTGCAAAAATGATTACAGTTATTACTAACAAATGCCAATAAGACAGATGACAGGTAAGGAGCTACACAAGATCATGCTCAGCAAGGCCAGAAAACAAAGAGGAAGAAGGACAGCAGGAACAAAGTATCTCAATTCTGGGGAAAGAATTTCAAAACCTGGAAAATATCACAACTGATTAACGGGAGTAACTTTAAAAATGAAAAGTGTCTTATATGCAAACAAGGTAGCAGTACACTGCTGTCAGATGCCATGGCTGTGTCAGGAAAGCTAACAAATACCCCACTATTTCACAAGTATATCCTACCCCAATAACACAACTAGAGCCTACTTTACAAATCTCTATTTCTCCATAAACATGTATATCAAGTTTTACGAAGACTGTACCTACAGTATTACATACCATTTGCCATTTTATCAACAGTAATTCAAAAATGGCATTGGAAACCAAGATTAAGATGGTAACGAAATGAACTTTAAAAAACAACATATTGCTTATAAACAGACTGAAACCTTTAACTTATAGTGGTAACAAGGAAAGGAGGCAGAGCCAGGAGAATATCCACTTAAATGCACCTCATCCTCAGCAACGCTTCTTCCTATCCTTCCAATAACCCTTCTTTTAATTCGATTGAATAACTGGTTTAAGGAATAAATTTAAAACTAAAAATGCTGGACTGTAGCTAATCCAGGAAAGTTTCATGCATGGCTGAGGCTTAAAATGCACTCAGTTTAAAAAACACTAGAAAGTACAAACATTCAGATATAAAGACCTAGGTTTAAAAAAATTTATTAAAATCTAATGACACTAATATTAATTTAATTTCATTTTTTGGTAAGCAATTATTAACTATAATCATCAGTTCAGGATTATTTTCATCTGTTTAATTCCAGCTATTATTATTACTATTGCACAAGATATATTCTGGAGCCACAATAAAAATTACTAAGTGTAAATGAAAATATGTAGATTTAATATCCAGGATATCCAAGATTATTGCCTTCTTCAGTATCATTAGGCAAATTCATCAATGCTGTATTCAAATGGAGGGTGGGGGACCGAGGGTTCTTAATAATAAAGAAAATCCTGACTTTCAGACACTCTGGGAATAACAATGTTAAATTACTGAACACAGAACCCTAAGATTATTGTTATAATCCGCAAGAGATAAGGATCTATAGCAACGATTCTCAAAGAGTAGCCCAGAGATCCCTACAGTCCCTGAGATATTTTCAGAGTCTATGAGGTTAAAGCTATTTTAAATCACTTGACTTTTTCCCTTGCATGTACATGGAGTTTTCCAGATGTTACATGATGTGTGATATAATCACTCTGACAGCTGATGGAGTGTGTGCTTATGTATTCTTAGGTTTTAAATATTTTAATTTCTAACATGGTAAATACTGATAAATACAACCCATATAAACAAAAGCTCTTTGGAGTCAAGTTTTTAAGATAGTGAAATATAAAAAGATCCTGAAACCAAAAAGATTTGAGTGGCTGCTCTTACGGGAAATTGTTTTGTGTCAAATTAAGGTACATTTGCACAAATTAAAAGCAAATGATATATAAAGACAATCTTGACTGAGTAAAAATACAATTACTATTGTAATCAAGAACAGCATCTTACAGGCACTAGAATACGGAAAAAAATGACACCATACCATCTTATATGTGCCAAACAAGCAAATCTTTAAAATACCTAACCAAATAACACTAATATTCAATTAAAATACCACATCTAGATAACATTCAACAGCTAAAAGCTTCCAAACAACAACCTGAAAGTCAGATTATATCAGTACAAAGGGAAAAAATAAATGAATAGAGAACAAGAAACCAGAAAGAATAAAGAGGCTTGAAGACAACTATGGCTAGAAACAGTTTTCTTCAAACGCCCAAGGCAAATTGTACTGCCTCTTTGGAGCTTATCCCTATCATCCTCCTTCTGGATTCACTCTCCCGTCTATAGCTCCTGACATCTGAACTTATCTGCTGCTTTGCACTTTGACTGTTAATGAGTATCATCTCTACCCCAGTCCAGACCACTTTGGTATCGCTATTAAAAGGGAGAGAAATGTTGCCCTTTGCAAATATTTTGTTGTATATTGCCGTTTTTAAGCTGTTTCTAAGGTAACCACCTAAAAATAAACAATTACTGACAAAAAGCAAGCTGTCACACAGATAAAAAAGTGCCCTCAATGCTCAAAATTAGGGCCGACCCGGTGGCACACTGCTACAGTGCGCCGCTTGGGAGCGCGGTGGCGCTCCCGCCCAGGGTTCAGATCCCACATACAGACCGGTTCCCGCTCACTGGCTGAGCAAGGTGTGAGAGCAACACGGAGGGTTGCGATCCCATTGCTGGTCCCGGTCTGGTACGGGCGCGACACCAAGGGTTGTGATCCGTTGCCGGACACGAAAAAAAAAGACGAAAAAAAGGGAAAAAAAATGCTCAAAATTAATAATAATCTAGGGAAAGTAGAGAAATAGTTATGTGAAATTCTAACTTTTTAGCTAGGACTCAACAGAGCAAACTACTAAAGCTACTATGGATTAGAGTGAGATACTAAAGCTAAACTTCTTCCTCATCCCACAATGGTCAAACCAGAAAATTTAACACCCACCTAGAAAATCACTGTCTAAATACAAGAAAAAATACACAATATACAAAAGGTTTTTGTAACATCTACAAAAGCACATTGCTCTTTGAAATTTAAAGAAAAAGTTTATTGAAGATCTGAAAAACAATTCCTAAAAGATCAACTTTTCCAGAAAACTGTAGCTACACAATGCATTGCGTCTATTATGTTAAAACGTGCATTAGACACAAATACAAAAACCATGAAACAAGCCACCATTCTTCAACAATTTGAGCAAAGATAAAATGCCTCAGGAACAACATGGATGACTTGCAAAAGGATGGGCTCTTTACTTTAAGCACCATTAAAAAAAAGAAAATAAGAAAAAAAAGGAGCACAAATGGGTGAGTGTGTTCAGTTATATACACTGAATTGAACCTTTGGCACTAGGAATCAGAGCATTTTGTCATATAGCATTAACACATATTATAAAAGTGCGTAGTGTCAAAGGACTAGAACCACCAGCATTCAAAAGCAGCTTTGTCAACTAGGCAATAAAACACTCTACAGCATGTCTCTCTGCTGTCCATCATTGAATACACTGGTAGCAACTTTGAAATGAAAAAAAAAAAAAAAAAAAAAAAAAAAGAAAAAAGGAGCTGTAACCCCTTTTATTTTCTCTGTTTAAAACCAAACAGAAAACAAACATCAATTCTGTTATACACTAACATTTTCAAAGTACATCATTTGTACAAGAGAAGGACTAAGAACAAAATATTTTCTCTGTTTAAAACCAAACAGAAAACAAACATCAATTCTGTTATACACTAACATTTTCAAAGTACATCATTTGTACAAGAGAAGGACTAAGAACAAAAATGTGTTTACAGAGATCTAAACATAAGTGAGAGCACTTCTCACACAGCTTTCCGATGGTATTCAGGAGGAGCCACTTCATAATCGCTGGCACTAAACAAAGTTGCAGAATTTTTTGCCAGGTACCTACAAAGATAAAATGTTATTCATTACAAAGACTGTTAAAAATCCGTTCTTGATCCAAATCCCCTACGTAATATATACATAAGTCACATAAAACACTTTCCTAAAATAATCACTACTTCACATTAAAACCATGTCAATTCTAATTCAGGTAAATAAGGCTATATACTAGACAACACGATGCATAAAGGAATAAAGTCCAGAGTTACTCCCCTTATTTCAAAACATTCAAGAACAGTTAGTTATGTTTGGAATACCAACTTGAGAGCTTGGATTACCTTTTTAAAAATTACCATCCTATTACATGGCAGTATTATCCTAAAAATAGTATCTAGATGTTTTCTTTGGCTCACTGAAAATTGTTATTGACAAAACACAGACATTTTTCCTCATCCTTTTCAACTGTTCACTATTTTCAAATCTTAACCAATCTGACAAGAGATATTTTACTAATAGTTTAATTTATATTTTTATTATAATGTTGGACATATTTTTAATGGTCCTTTGTACTGCCATTTCTGTAAATTCTCTATATCCTACTGTTCACTGGTTTTTTCTTGTTGAATAAGAACTCTTCTTAGTGTATTAAAGATACCAGCCATTTATTGTATATGTAAAACTACAAAACTATAAACATCACCAATCTACTGAGTACGCCATCATTTTCCCCTATTGCACCAACATGCCATCTCTATCACTTGTAAGATTCCCACACATTGGGCCGGCCTGGTGGCGCACTGGATAGTGCGCCGCTTGGGAAGCACGGCGGCGCTCCCGT